ACCTTGTTCGTTGTTCTCTCTGCTGAACTGACCCAAAGAGACTGGCGGCACTTAATAGCCTGGGAACCCATTACAACAAAAAGCGCGTGGTTTATCACATGTACCATGCTCCTTTTAAACCAAAAAGCATGTTCTTGAAAAGGACTTGTTTCTGTACACTTTACCTTTCCGTACTTGGTAAGTTAACAACTCTTAATCTCGGGTGTTATCTCCTCAAAAAGTTTAACATGAACTACCAATAGCTGACATTTTTTTCTTGTTCTAGTACACAGTCAAACCGACGAACGGACTACATACAAACCGCCTGCACCAAAGGCATCGATACAGCAGACTGAAACCACAACCTCGACAACAAAAGTAACATCACAACCACAAATGGCAACAGCAACATCGGCGCCAAATTCAGCAATACCAATAGCAATCGCAACCTCAGCACCAAATACGACAATACCAATTGCAATCGCAACCTCGGCACCAAATCCAACAATATCAACAGCAACCGCAGCATCAGCACCGAATCCAACGATACCAATAGCAACAACAAAATCAGCACCAACTACAGCAATACCAATAGCAACAGCAACACCAGCGCCGTTTTCAGCTATACCAATAGCAAGCGCAACCTCAGCACCGAATCCAACAATACCAACATCAACCGCAGCATCAGAACCAAATTCAACGATACAAACATTAACGATGCCAGCACCAGGTTCATCAACTAGTGAAAGTTCCTCTGATCTTATAAAGCAATTATGCGTCGCTCCTTGTTTCTTTAGGTTGTTAATGATTTGTACTCAATTAAGAATTGTCGAAAGTACATCCATAGCAAATCAATGCTTATTTATATGTTACGGACTGACCGTTGGTAGAATGTGAATATTGACTGGCTACCTCGCAGAAACCGACAGGTGTTAGCTCTACTGTCGGACAGAGCCTAAGAGGGTGCTTGTTAATGAAGTCAGTCCGTGCTAGCATAATGAGGATCGCGGACGCTACCAACCAGCTGAAACACATGATCTTGCAAGCTCTGTAGACGCGGGAGTATTGCCCAGCTTCTGAGGTTGCAGTCTCTACAGCGGTTGACGCTCACAGGAATCGTCAGTGGATTTCTGTCAGCTTAGCCAAATTAAACGGACTCAACGGTTGAGAGCTCGGAGCTGGCAGCTATTGAAGAAATCGCAACACCGGCTTACTGTTAAAGCCCAGTTTGTTCTGATTGCAAGAGTCTTTATTGAAGGCAACACAGAGACTGGACAATGGATTGGCGTGTCCACTACAGCCTATTATAAGGAGTTGGTCCTTTTAGACTAGTCCTGGCCTATCCCATGCGAGGGGGGTTCTAGCGTGTATGCTGATTCGTGGTTGCCCACGCTGCGAGACGTTTCTAGAACATCTGCAGTGCACGTGTGCGGGGGCGTCACGTGTGCTCGGAGGGGGCGCGGTCGGACTGCGCCCATGACTCAGCTGGCATGCGCTTCTCGCCACCGTGACACTTACCAATTAGGTTCACTCTAAAGTTAACTGCAATGTTGCGCAGGCCTATAATCACACAATGGCGGATTGTATAATATAAGTTGGTTTAATACGTTGGCTAATACTGAGCGTTGGATACTTTCGAAATGTGCATCGTCCTGCAAAATGCCCGTATTACTTGAGAGGCGCTTATGTTTTGCAGAAGATTTATATAATGTCACGACTATTGAAACAAAAATGGTTTAATGGTCAACCTACAGCAGAAATC